TATGTGTGTGTGTGTGTGTGTATGTGTGTGTGTGTGTATTATATATATATATATATAGATGCTTAAAAATGAAAAACCATTGCCTTCCATGTACGGCTGCAGGCATACATTTGGTGCTGTACTTTACGACGAGCAAGGATATCGAGGGTTGAGAATTGAGATGTTTGTTTCCAATGGTGATCATGAATTGGACTTCAATAAGCATCTGTATATACATAGTCTGAAATTTCAGACAGCTTTAATTAGCTAGACTATCGTCAAATACCGAATGTCAAGGACTGATATATTCTCAACCGTGTGAGTGGCATATTACGCACACTCATACCTGTGTGTGAACTACGCAGGAATGTGTTTTCAAATAGTTAAATGTGATTATAGATATTTTTATATAGACCTGTGTGCATGGTGTGGGGTCCAAAAGTCAGAATGAGCAATTCTCGACAAATCGGGATTGTAGAGATAGAACGGTAGTTCGGTACGGGTCAAAATCGAAGCACCTGTGAAAATTGTCCCAATTTGTAGGCGTATGTGTTATATTTCAATAGAGGAACCTAATAAATACTTGGGGTGTAAATTGTCCTATTATATAGTTGTACGTCTGTAGTTCAATATGAAGTATTTCAAGGGAAAAACTCTTTCTTTTTTTGGAGGGTGAAATTGTCCGAATTGATACCTGTATGCCTGTTGTATAATAAATTTCAATGGCGGACCCAATTTATAATATTTTTCAATTGGAAATCGTCCCAATTTGAAGAAGTATGTCTGCAAATAGTACAAAATATCTCGATGGAAAACATAATATTCCTTTTTGGGTGAATATTGTCCTAATTGGTGACCGTATGTCTATAGTATGACAAATAGATTTCAATAGAAAACTCAATTAATTTTTGGGTGAATACTGGCCAACACTTTACACGTGGGTAGATATCCCAATTCTCAATTCTGTGGCCACGGGACAAATTCATTCGAATTTATTCCAATCTGAAGCGTAAAGTTATAACAAGTGCAGAGATCACTCAGAAGCCTTTCTTTTTCGAGTAACCACTTCTAGCTGCCAAGATGGTACGTGTGTGTGTAAGGTTGACTCGGAAGATAGAAAGATTCGTGCATATGTGGTTGTGTTAGGATAATAGGAAGGCGTGATATAGTTGTGGGATAAGGCTAGGTTTACAACGTAGAGACGGAGTCAACGACATGTGTATAGTCGAATCTGATCAACAGGAGGGCTACCAGCAGAACAGACGCAGCACTTACAGCCTATATTATCATACAGCAACACGACCACGGTGGAATGAATGATATAGGAAGTACCTGAAAGTACCTATGCATGCAAGCATGTCATGGTAGTATGCGTGTATATACACCGCTCAACATCAATCAGCAATCAGCCACGACAAATAGTGAATAATCTCGCTGAAAAGATCATATGCACTGAAAAAGGTGCATGTATCACAGAGTAGGGCAGAGCACATGAGAAAGGACATATAATTGCGCAAAGACTCGTATGACTTGGGAAAGAGCTGTGCATCACCTCAGTTAGTGCAAATATATAGGACCGCGCCAGGGTCACGCATCTCGCTTCCAATATGAGTGGACACTATGGAATCAACACACACACCTTCGTTTTGCATACTTACAATACATAGATACATATATTACGTACATGCATATATACATACATACATCCCTTTCCTTACTTTGTATCTATATACTCTCCACAATGCCAACAGACTAAGGGTACCCAGAGTTTTGGAATGCGCCACAACAAGACGCACACCTTGTGTGTGCGTTGTGGTCGCCGTTCGTACCACATCCAGAAGCACACCTGCAGTGCTTGTGCCTACCCTGCTGCTCGCAAGCGTGGGTACAACTGGGGACAGAAGGCCCTCCGTCGCAAGACGACAGGTACAGGCCGTATGGCCCATCTGAAGAATGTCCACCGCCGTTTCCGCAACGGTTTCCGTGAGGGTATGTCTATATATATATAATGGATATGGGTATAGTCATATAATATAGAACTATAGAAAGCGAATATACTGAACACTTGTTTGTATTGTAGCACATAGTTGGTGTGTGTAAGAAGGGGCCTGTCCATATTCCATATGCAATGTTATTCGGTGTAGTTTTGTGTATAGTTTAAGCCGTATCGATGTGTTAGAATGGGTGTCAAAACCTCTGGTTTACGTTTTCCTCCGAGAGCATAAAACCATGAACTCAACACCATACTCTGTGGATTAGAGAATACAATAAGCCTATCGCACCCAGCATGTATGCCTATGACGTGCGAGGGGAAGTATTGAGCAATTCGTTTCCTTGTACTGTACATTGTATGTGGCATATGAATAACAACGTTTGCTGTCGCCGTAGGGCCCGGCTTGTGAATGTCATCACATCATACTAGTTATTTTGGTCCTGTGTATGTGGAGGTTCTGTTATGTTGCAGAAGTGCATGGTTAGTCGATACTGAATGGAATTTCAATGTGTTCCAACGTAGGTACATGTTGTCAGAATGTTTTTTTTGCATATGTGTATAATTTGTTCTCCAGATATCACCGAGATTATGGTATGTTGAATATATATATATTGTTTATATTAGTTATACGCACAATGTGAGAGAGTATTATAATCGCGACATATGGACTGCAAGCAGCTGACTATCTGCTTGTATTGCTTACCGCGTCGCGCATAGTCAGTCGAGATTGGTTTACGATTAGGACTTGTTCCCTAAATGGTCATTGTACCCTCGCTAAATTCGAACGATATGCAGAAATATTATTCACATTTAGTATTTATGGATATAAACTAAGCAAACTTTAAGCATGTATGCTGTCTGATGTTCAACTATTTATAAATCAAATGAGTGGGTGGATCCATCGCCTTGGCGAGCATGAAGCCTATACGTCGTACACTGGTGTCAAGGGATGTCTTTGTATGGCATCGCACACCTATATTTAGATATATATTGTATTATTTTTCAAGTATATGCGTGTATATGATAAACTCAACACCGCAGCTAACTTCTATTCCACTACCCTCCTCCATCGGTCTATTCTATTTATAGGACAAGAGGCTAAGTCCAAGAAGGCCGTAGCCGCCGCTAAGAACTAAGCAAAGTCTTCTAACCTGATGTAATATAGACGGATTCTGAGACAGGCTTATCACCGGTCGAGTAAATATAAAGTGTTTGCCTCTGGGTAAAGCGTGGTTGCACACTTAAGGGAGTTTATTTCTTTACTTTCGAACAATATATTACACTATGTGTATATATATTTATAAATATACTGTGCATAATACCAGCTGAGTAAGCGGAAAGAAATTATAAGCCTATTGTATGTATATGTTATCTCGGTGTGTTGTTCGTTTCGATACCTTGATTCTCATCTAGATTTGGCAATTTCTGTATACATATCACGCATACAAACCCTTTTATATCACGCTCCTTCGTTCTCATCTGATGTGTTACATTATGTATATATAGATATATATATGTTTAATGTTGGCGCTAGAGATGCAGACTTATGCTACTAGACTCGTGCATCGATTAGTGAAGTATCTGGGCCTGTTACAAAAGTATATACGCTGTAAGAGAGAATGGTTGCGCTTCTGCCATCCATTCATCTAGTAATCTTATGAGCTAGTTGTGCTCTAGACTATTAGCGGAGCTCGGACGTATTGTCTGGTTATAGTCGTGCCATATATACAATTTTACTTTTGTTTTAGACCTGTGGCATATGGCACCTACTAAAACCTACAATTCTGTGAGCGTTGAGATGATCTGTCATTGGGTGCACGATCGGTTATTATGTGTGACTGTATCGCTTCTGATCTGAATGGTCCATAACTGTGATTGTAGTTGATGCACTCGCTAACATTGACGATGAATAACAATATTAGTGTGAATCAATACCAATACTTGGTCTTCGTCCACAGGCTACCAATATCCCGTGCATGTGTGAAGTTTATGGTTGTGCCTTGTTAGTGTATATATGCGACCAGTTGTGTATTGTAGTTGCTTTTCTCCTTCACAAAGCGGACCTGTGACCAAATTAGGTGATAGGTTAGCCATGCAAGTACATCTGTTGCACCCAGCGAGTTTCTCATCGTTATTGAAGGTCAGTGCCTTGAATAGAACAGCACCAGCCTTTTTTTTATTCTACGAACTAACGCATGTATAGAAGATAGATATATCAGTTATATAAATGCTATTTTTTAGGTATATATATAGCATTGGCGTCAGCTTCGTGTGTAAAACGATATCTGAGACATGGTAGAAGGACATGAATAATGTACATAACCATTCAGTCGCGAATAAATAATTCTTGTCTTCAGAAAGCATTGGCGTCAGCTTCGTGTGTAAAACGATATCTGAGACATGGTAGAAGGACATGAATAATGTACATAACCATTCAGTCGCGAATAAAGAATTCTTGTCTTCAGACTTTGAATCGTGTTTCTATCATAGCTGCGAGTCGCGAATAAAGAATTCTAAATTCGATCGCGGATCATACTAAACGAAGCAGTCAGATATTTGCCCAATTATGTGTACTGTACAGTCTCTGCCGAAGTAAATATATTCATATAGACGTACACACTACACACACCTCTATATATATATATGAATGTTTGTATGTATATATATGTATATGTATATATATGTATATATATATATGTGTGTGTATAAATATTTATGTATGTATATATCTATCTATCTATCCATATATATATCTATACACACGCATATACTTATATACAAATATCTATATATATATCTATATATCTATATATATATACATATGTACCTATATATATACTTGTATATATATATATCTATATATGTTTGTTATATGTATAAATATATATACGTGTGTGTGTATGAATATATATATATATGTATATATATATATATATATGTATATATATATATACATGTATAATATATATATGTATATATATACTCGCATATATATATATATATATCTATATATCTATACACACATATATTTATATACATATATATATTGTATATATTTATATATATATATCTCTCTATAAATATAGATATAGATATATATATATTGATCTATAGATGTATTTTATTGATCCATGGATGACATCTATTCTTTCATTGATGTAGTTCATTCATCCATCCATGTTGTTCTCAGCTATTGTATCTACAGGGTTATCTGATACTATTTGATCTTTTATACACGTACGTTGAGACGCTATAGTCCAAGTCATATATATGCCAACGTAGTTTGTCTAGTTTTATTCATCTATTACTAATGCTAATTGATCTTATTCATACGTTGGTGTAATGTGCCGCCCTCGACCACCCAATGCTCATTACAGAGCTCGTTTACGAACCTGGATGGTAACAGGAAGGGAGGAGTAAAGGGTTTAGGGTTTTATGATACAAAGGAGAGCCAACAGAGTATGGAATATATATGTATAGATATGTAATTGGTTTCAGGATTTATTGCTTTAGGGTTTAACCAACCTGCATGGTTCTAACATGAATTGAGATATCAGATGACTAATAAGATCATCAACCAAAAAGGACCGACATACATCTGACCCTAGATCTACGAAGTGGGGCTGTTTGCGACAATGCGTTGCTATGTATGCCATATAAGCACAGCACACGGTTGTAGCAACACAGTAATATGTTCATGATAAAGTCTTGTCATGTCTGCCATACAGATATCGCGTACGCTTATATCAATACATCACCACAACCACTCAGGCGACAGAGAAAGACTCCCCCCCATTCCCCCAAAACACACAGACACAGACACAGACAGACACAAACACATACATAAACACAAACGCAGCCAAAAACACAAACACAAATAGAAACATAACCACAACCACAACCACAAACACACAAACATCCTTACCTGGGTGTGTGCGAAATGAGCACAATGGCGCCCTTAAACTTCGTAATAGCCAGGGCCAGTGAGTCTAGTGCCTCCAGATCCAAGTAGTTGGTAGGCTCATCCAGGCAGATGACGTGGGGACGGTTCCACATGGCCGCAGCTATCACCAGGCGCGACCTTTGCCCTCCACTCAATCGTTCGATCTTACCTGGATATATATATA